CGCTTTGAAGGCCGATTTGCATGAATCGCTGACACTGTATCGCAGATATCCGTCGTCGGTGGCTTTTTTCGGTTGTTTGCCAGGCGCAAAGAGAACTTGGCTCGTAACAAGGTGTGGTCTGTGTTTACATCTGTTGACCAGTAAGAGCGACAGCCTTGAATTTGATCCCCTCCAGCGGTAACTGATGGCGATGTGGTCGATTTGGGTCCAGCGCAGTGAAGAGGTTGGCGGTTTCCATGTAAGTCGATGGCGTTTCTTGTGCGAGAAGTTCGTGTTTGACAGGAACAATCCGTGGTCCGTGCAGAGTTGAAGTAGGCGATCTCCGTTGTCAGTCCGGTTGGCTGGGATTGCGTGTGGTCCGCCAAGAGGTCTTTCTGATTCGTCCAGGGATCGCACTGGAGCGCTGAATTCCCCGGCGACTACTACGACGTCCGTTGCCCGAGCACTTTGGAGCGGTTGAGAAAGTTTCAGTTTTTACAACCATTAACCATGCATTTTAGTGCGCCGGTTTTGGTTGCCCATTGGGATAAAAGAGCGAAATGAAGATTGGAATGTCGAAGCAAATTCAAGCGGAAGATGGGGAATACATAAAGAGTGGTGTTAGGAAAATAACGAGAAAGATCCTGGTCGAATTCATCCTTGATTTCAGGTATACTGCAATCGGTCGGTGCATAAGCCGATACGCCGAATAAGCATCGACGCTTCATTCTGTAGCTGTTGACTCGAACTGAACCGTAGAGATATACAGCGCACAACCCTCAGATAAATCGGTAATAATTATTACAAAAGCAAGTAAAAGTCAACCTGTACGCATCAACCGCAGCTGTGATCGGAAGAACCAGAACAGTTTGTGAATATTTACAGAACGAACGATACCGCAATTAACTGAGTCGAAAGAAGGAAATAGTTATGAAGTGAACGATTGGGAAATGTAGCGAATCTGTCATGGACAATCTAACACAAGCCTATGATGACGGCTTGATTCTTCACGCAATTTTCATTGATTTTGCAAGAGCTTTCGACCGTATCCCCCACGCTCCCTTACCATGTAAGCTCGATTCATATGGCCTCAGTGGCAGAATCCTCGCTCTTCTTCGCGATTTTCTCACAAACCGCACCTTCTCGGTTCGCGTAAGTTCATCGCTCTCATTTGACTCTTGCACTTCTACCAGAGTCCCCCAAGGCTGAGTCCTTGGCCCCCTCCTCTTCCTTTTGTATATTAATGACCTGCCACACATGATCGGAGTCAACGTGGCAATGCACGCCGATGTGACAATTTGGGGCACCGACCCGGTGGCTGTTCAGTCAGCAATGGATGCAGTCAAAGACTGGTCTACGGCCTGGAACCTTCCAATAAACGACGACAAATGCGTTAGTATGTCGTCACTTTCGTTCTCTTACTGCCAACAAAAATCCGG